GAACAATCCCTAAGAGGGATAATAGACACCACGCCAAACGATCAATCACATAAACTACACTCCACGGTGGCTACAAAACAATGGTCTATCATTGGTAGCTAACTAGACATTTGGGTCATACATCCCAAACAATCTACCTGACAAAACAGAAGGCCATACTACTCCAACGCCTCCATCACTATCCTTTCCCAACAGATCGCTATAACTACCATCCAACACAACGGGATGTCCACATCGATTTCATCTGAGTTGTGTGCTCGCAGCTCGCCCAATGTGGTAGCCTTCTGGTGCCACCTGCATACACTCACGCACACCCGTTAACAGGGCCACAAAACAAAGAAATCAAATAGAACAGGCCACCAAGCCCAGAGGTCACTCCTCATACTGGCTCAACACAATCTGTGACCCATACTTTATGGTCACTAAACAACATCACACTACCCATCTTATCGCCAACTCAAGGTCAACCTCTATTCTTACTCCTAAAATGGCAATCTAAGAGACAAACTCGCAACCTTAAACATCAGTGAACTTATGAATAAAAATCCACATATAAATCTTGCTCAACCGCATAACACATGTACCTCACAAGTCATACACCGCATACACCACCTCACGTCCCGTGACATCTAATTAACTCTGCTCACATGAAAGGAACCCATGACTCACACACCATACCTTACTAATCCATTATCCCAAGAGTCCACTCACTATATCGAGGGAACACAACATAATCTCTCGCCCGTGCAAGAAAATAAGGACTTCCATCCCGAAAAACACCTAAGATCATACCCAATCACAGTCATCAGTCTCTAAGGGAAAAGACTCTTAATGGAACAATGCGTCCAAGACAAACCAAACTCAAAAGATAGTACAATTCACATCACCCCTGCTCTCAACGTTGATACCTTTTTCCCAGTCATAGGTGACAGCTCAAAGAACTAATACAACATAGAAATGCGCCTGCTATACGTATACATACTGAAAACACAGCACCTACTCATGGATTATTTAAGTCAGCACGACACACATATAACACATAAGCATGTGTGGTACTTAGCACATAGTCATACTCGTTATATAACATATTTCATAACTTTAACACATAGTGGATGATTCTCATACCCAATTAATTATCATCTTAACACATATAGCATGCTTGTACAACAATAAACAACCTAGCAAATAAGCACATAATCTGGTAAGTACACCCATATACATGATAAGCAACTCAATTAATAAACACCTTGTCATTTCAGTATCCTTTAAAAATTTTAACCATGGCATTAATCTCATAACTAGTATCACTTATCATGAAATAATCAAGCATTCTTTAACTCAACAAGTAATGAACACATAAGCAGGTAAGCAAGTAAGCAATTAGGCATGGTTCTCAAAAAAAATTAAACACTTTACACATAGGAATATAAACATGCAAATCAACTTCCCATGCAATCCTAGGTAGGTATCTACCCGTTCGTCCTAATGGTAATCGAACCATTACTCTTATACCAAATTTGTAACGACTTGAACCCGGGGTCTGAATAGCTAACCGGATCCTTACCTGAACTCGTGGACACACTAAGGGTAAAATGGTAATTTAACAATAAGTATGGATAATCTGACCTTAAGCTAGTCAAATGAAGTTTATAATGATCATCCTAGTCATTTCATGACGTTCAAAGTGTTTCTGCGGTCATTACTTATGATTTCCCAAAAGTGCCCTTACTCGGTTCAAAGGAAATCCTGACACTGTCTCACTAAAACAAACATATCTCTTAGCATGAATGAACGACCAGCATAATTTTCTACAAAAGTAAATATACGTATTTCGTGGAAACCAAATGGAATGAAGGTACGTGAAGTCGGAAATCAGGTCCGAGCACCAAAAGTGAGGTTACTCGGAAGAAGTGACAAATGGGAATAAGACGAAAAAGAAAAATGTCCGAAAAAGAAAAGAGGAGCCGGCATGGTCTTCACAAGGATGATTTGAAAAGAGGATACCAATCTCCCAAAAGAATGAGTGTCGGGAACTATTCCCGAGCACTCACGACGATCGGAAGGGTCAAAACTTGGACTCAGAAAGGAAAACATCAATGGAAAAAAAAATATCCATAAAAACAAGGAAAAAGAAAGAAAGGAAAATGACAGGGTCATTACAGTTGTGATGCAAGGCCAATGTCGAAGCAAATAAGGATAATTTGAGATACACGTTATAAAAATGTTGGGAAGCACTTACAAAAATGTTGGGATGCATGTTTGGAAAATGTTGGAATTCATGTTAGGAGAAAGTTGGGATGCACCTTAGGAAAATGTTGTGATGCAAGGCCAACGTCGAAGCAAATGAGGATACTTTGAGATACACGTTATGAAAATGTTGGGATGCACTTTACAAAAACGTTAGGATACATCTTAGGAGAAAGTTGAGATTCACCTTAGGAAAATGTTGTGATGCAAGGCCAACGTCGAAGCAAATGAGGATAATTTGAGATACACGTTATGAAAATGTTAGAATGCACTTTACAAAAATGTTAGGATCTATATGAGGAAAATGTTGGGATGCATGTTAGGAAAAGGTTGGGATGCAACTTAGGAAAATATTGGGATGCAAAGCCAACGTCCCAACATTTTCTTAACATATATCCCAAACTTTTCTCACCGGTTGTGACACATATATACTGTTGCGGCAGAAAGGATTTTGATCCCACAAGCCAACCCAAACAAAACCTAAATTTCTTCCCTTAAAACATAATTAAATAAAATCACACTCCAATACTCACAACCATGAATGAATGGTAAGACATTGTACTCTGAAACACTCTGTTCCCTTAAAACATAATTAAATTAAATCACACTCCAATACTCACAACTATGAATGAATGGTAAAACATTGTACTCTAAACCACTCTGTTCCATTTTATCACATTCCTTTTTCGGTCACTCATCCTATGATTTTTTCTCCTCACAAACAAAAATTAAAACCCCAAATAAGTGCACAATAAAACCCTCCACTCCAGCAGAAAATCTAAAGAGACCTCTGGAGATATTTGTATCTGCTTTAAACCAAATAAGTTTACGCATTAACCAGGGATCAATTAAAATACAACATTAATTTACTATTTCTAGTTTCTTCCACTTATGTCCCTTTCTTCTTAATAATTATTTTTGTTTCTACCATTCATTTCTTATGGAAATTAGAGGATTTCCTTGCAAATAAAATATGAAAATTAGAAATCGTACCTTTTGTGCCTCTCTGCTCCGACCTCCTATACGAAGAAATAGAGTCTTGCTTCTATTTGGAAACACATGTAAGGAGAAATAGAGTCCTGTTTCTATTTGGAAATAAATCAAAATCTGAATATTTTGGGATAGAAGAAACGCTGCTTCTATTTGGGGAGAATAATGGGAGAGAACAAAGGCTAAATTATTGATATTTTGGGAGAGAAAAAAGATGGGCGGGATTTCATTTGAAATGGGTTGTTGAAAATAAGAGAGGGAAGAAGAATACGTATTTGTGAATAGTGTGTGTGTGTATATATATATATATATATATATATATATATATACGAAAATTGTGTATAAAACTAATACAGATTTTTACCCTCATGCGTTAATACTATTCATTTACGAAAATGGAGGAAAATAGACACTGTTGAGCTACAGAGGATCCTGATCCTTTGTAGAGGGGAAGTAACGTGAGAAGTTAGAAAGGAATTTGGGCAACAAAAATCCTAAACTTATTAGGAATGGGCAATTTTGGTATTAAAATTATAATAACTAGACATTGTGTAGTTAAGAACTTTTTTGAAATTTAACTTGGAGAGAAAGAGAATGAAGCCCATCCCCTTCAGGATAATTGTGAAACGCCAACATCCATTTATTATTTGTAATAATTATATTTGATAAGATATTTCATTTATAAATATTATCTTACGAGTCGAATAATTATCTTATAAACTTTATAAGTAGCTCAGTTGGTCAGGCCTTGGATTTGTTCCCCATGGTCACCAGTTCGAGTCTCCTCAGGGCCACTGGAGCATTCTCGGTCGTTAATTTCAGGGCCTCGTTGAATTAGTCGAGGTGCGAGCAAGCTGGCCCGAAAACTCACTATTGTCAAAATAATAATAATACTAATAAAATAATTATCTTATATATCAATCTAACCCATTGGCCTATGAATGGGTCAAGGTACTCCAGATCGGGACCAATTGTTCTTAATTAGTTAATCAAAGAATAGTTTGATTTTTTGACCAAGGGGTCAAATTATTCATAAAATCAAAACAAAGCCCAAAACTCAATTCCGTTACAATTTAAACAAGTACCCTATATACATCAACGGTTAATCGGGAAATGAAACAATGAGGACGATCCCATTTCCATGCAACAATACCCGCGGATGGAATGTCACAATGAGTAGGTAAATAATTACTCTTTGATGCAAGAAAAAAAGATTACAACAAATATGAAATAAATATGAGAAAATTCTAACTAAAACAGAGTTTATGTGGGTTTCAAAAACTCTGAAACACAATTAGATCAATCAAATACGTTCCAATGATCCATTTCTCATTGTTAATTATCAGTTGCTCTAACATACGTTTTGATAACTCAACTAATCATCAACGTGTCTATAAATCAATCCCTCTCTAATTCTACTAGCGGAGTTGCTACTGTTCTAAATCGCCACATTTATGAAACCCAACCAATCTATTTGAGATCTGTTTAATGACATTATTTCATAAATTTGAACTAGATTTTTTTTTTTTTTTAATGTCAATTTTAAAGTGTCCCTAAACATAAGTTAATTCATGCTCAATACTGAACAATCCACTTTGCTCATTTAAAGATTTGAACCATCACCATCTAGACGATGTTGTGTGTCCCATGGGTTGTAGGACAGCTAAATTTCTAATGAATAGAACGGTGGCTTTGAAACACAGACAAATGACCTGGCACTTTAATTTTGAACATTAGCGAGATGAAGAAGCGGCGACCTCTACTTCAAAAAGCAAGCCTGCAACTTGTGATCTTCAGCTTTTATAAATGCAGCCTTTTCTTTTCCCTACTTGTTTCTTTTAATTTCCTCTTTCCTTGTATTTTTCCTTTTTCCTGTTACTACTACAGAGACCAATTCTTCTATAAAAAAAAATATATACACAATCTCAACAAGATTGAGGAAAAGCAGCTGGATGCATTCTTTAGGCCTGGTCACACATGACAACATTCTTCTTGACCCGAGAAAAATCCTTCCCACCAAAAAAAAGAGGAGAAAAATCATTTACAACATCCCCAGGTACATCAAAAAGCATTTGTCAAGCTCTTCCCCAAGCCAAAGCCGCCGCCTCCACCACCAACAACCCCTGTTTCATTCTTCCCCTGCTCACCTGTGTTTGTTATTTGGCCTGAGCTGCTGCTGCATCTGTGGCAAATAAACCTTGCTGGAACAGCATCGAAATCTGAAATCCCAGCACACCTTGTGTGCTGCCACTCACTGCAGATATCACAAGCTAACATTCTCTCCCCATCATCATCCTTCGCCCCACACCTGCAGTCCACCGTCCACCTCTCAACCCCCCTCTCCATTCTAAACCTACTCACCCCATTTTTCACCAGGCATCTCCCTCGTACTCGTACTGATCTAGTTGTACCTAACAAGAGCTTGACCTGGGTGGATTCATCTACACCGCCATAGCCAAGTAGCTCTTCCGCCTGAAATCTTCTAAACATCAGATATACTTCTTGGAAAGCCCTTGATGCTTCGAGCTTGAGGTCAGAAATAGTAGCTTTGGGGGGCAAGACCAGCAATTCTGGTGGTGGTTGATTAGTGGCATTTTCTTCAGATTGTTCCATGAGCTCCACATCACATGAAATGTGTGTTGCAGAAGGGTTTGCAATCGATAACATGTTCTCAAGGTGGTACTCTTTCACAAACTGCTTGCAATCAAGGAGCTTTGTAGCTGAGCTGATCACAGGATCCATGTTCGCCTGAGGTCCATGGCTCAGCATGGTCCGAGGGTGCAACGTGGATTCATACAAGTATCTGAGATCCCGCAGCAGATGTTCTTCTGAAGGGCAGTTTGTAATAAAAGAAGTGGCAACAGTGGTATTTCCATTCAAGGGAATACTTCCTGGCTCTAGTCTGCCAGCAGAAATGCAAAACATAAATTATTTAACCCAACAAAAAGAAAAAATCAGAAAAGTGGTTAATATAAAGTTGAACTTACATGCATGCATTCATGACTAGCATAATTTTTTAAGACAAATAGAATTGCTGACCTGTACTCCATAGCACCTGAATCAGGATTGCAGCGAGCATGAACAACCATGCCATCGGCAGTCTGTTTTCCTTGGAGCTCCTTAAGGCAGTAATCAAGAAGCTCTGGAGAAGCAACTTTGCAAACTGCACCCCTAAGAGCACGCCAACTCACCCAGTTGGAACCAGTAACCGCCCTTAATACTCGAAACATTGCTTCTTCCACACGTTCAATATCATTGGTAGTCCATGCGCACAAAACTCCTGAAGCACAAAACTGACCCTTCTTGAAGGTGGCATCATCAACCCTCAAGGAACTCTTGTGGGCATCATGGATCAAACTCAGCAAGAAACAGAACAGGTCTCTAATATTTACAAGCTCGCACTCTGATAAGGACTGATAGAATGAGATCAAGTCCTGCAGGCGAGTGCGAGGTTTCCGTCGTTGAGAGAGAAAAATTGACAAAGGCTGATTGGAGAGGGTTTCAACAGCCTTTTTATAGGCATCAAGAGTGAGACCAAAGCTACCAGCACCAAACACATAACCCCAGTCACCATACCATGGATGACCCTTGGTGATGGCATGAAGCAGCCGAAACTCCAATCCGTACTTTTTTGACACATCCATCACACTAACTTTTCTGTCATGTGCGGAAAAATAAGAGAATAAAATGAAATAGCTGGAGTTTAGTTGCTCCACAAGCAGTTGAAATTATCGAGGTCAACAGAATTCAACATACGCGTTACAATGACCAAGAAAATCTACCAGGTGGCAAAGGAAAAAGGAAAAACAAAAGAGTGTTTTTCCAGAAATATTGATTCTAGTGAAGGGAAAGTCAGTTCACCATTGCAACATAAATGGATATTCATTCATGAATATTCAATAATTATATTCATCAATGAATGACATTCACCACTTATTTATGAATAATGTAAGAACTGAGACAACTGACCTTTTAAATATATATATATCAAAATTCAAAAAAGACAACCATAATGTAGCAAAATTCTGTGTTTATGATACAAAAGGACAAATCAAAACAAAATTGCATGTTAGTTCTCTTCCAACCAGCAATTTTAGTAATTAGTTGAGTAAATTTGAGGATATTGTGTACTTACTTTCCCTTGTAGCTATGACATTATTTAACATTTCAAATATTTTGACAGTACATGAAGCCAAACTAGCTTTATCTACAAAAGAAATAAGAATAAGTAAAACACTAATTCCTTGATCCAACAAATGGCATACAGACAAAAAAGAAATAGAGATCTTGAGAGAACCTGTTAAAGACGAGACTTACTGATGCAAAGATGCTAAAGAACATTTAAGTTTGTGAAAATGAAGATTTGAGAAACATGGCACAATAAGCTCTTAAAGATACTAGAATCACTTCCATTGATAAACAAGCAGACAGTGCTCGATCTACAACAAAAAATCCTAACCTGACTCCAAGTACTTTACACAGGCGATCCCAAAAATCCATGATGTGACATCCAGAAAGTATCCTAGATCCCCCTTCTCTGCCATTGACTCTAAGAAGGTGCCCATAACCATTTAAATGTACCACACCATGTAGAAGATGGGTTGTGTCATCTAACTGGTGATACATCCAGTCTTCAACATCTTCTGCAGTCATAACATGGTTGCAAGACTTGCACCTGGAAAAATGGATGAATCAACTATGTAATTATTGATGACTTTATTATAAAATTTAATAAAGGTGGCATAATTAAGGTCTAGCTCAAGGAGAGCATGAAAGCATCAATCTAGCAATTTCAGCAACCAGAATTTGTACCACAAAAAAATATAAATAAATCTTGGTAAAAAGTTAGGAAAGAAATGAAAAGAGATGGTACCAAAAAGAAAGTTAAACATTCAGTACTAAGGCTATGTTTAGTATTGGAGATTGAAGGTAAAGGGATGGAGAATACTTCCATTGTTTGGTAGAGGTGAGAAGAATAAGGAAAAGATAAGAAGATGGATGAGGATCTATCTATGCTCACCAATTTGCTTCCATCCAAATCAGGATGGATTGTTCGATAAAATTGAAAGGATGTTATTACCCTCATTTATTTTGTCTGTATAATGCGGGGTATACTAGTACAATAATATTTTAAAACTTTCTATATGCTTTCACTCAACCAAAAGGCGGTAAATCATAGTCAATTGGTGTAGCATGTGTAAAAGACATGACAGTCTCTGGATCATCTCCTCTTGCATTGTTCTGTGGCAAGAGATGCTTGGAGCTTGATTTTTTCTATTTTTGGTGTCCAGTGGGTAATGTTGGAGTCCACGAAGAATGTTCTTGGAGGGCATTCTCAGTGGGAGCTCATGCTCAAGAGGCTTGGAGGAAAAGGTCCCCTTTTGTCTTTAGTGGAACATTTGGAAGGAGAGATATAGGAGTTGCTTTGATGGCAAGGAGGCTCCTATTTGGGAGCTAAAATTCTATATTCTTAGTTCTTTGTACCTTATTTATTTATTGGGTAAAGTACAGCCACACCCCCTGAGATTTGACAAAAAGACACTCAGATGAAACTTACCTGTGAACAAAGACACCCCCTGAAGGTTCAAAAATGGACAAAGACACCCCTTTACATGAGAAATTAACCAAATTACCCTTTGAACGTTTAGGAGACTTTTTTAACTTTACAATTTAATAAATTGGACCAATCTACCCTCATGAACAATTTATGCATAAAAAAAAGTAACCAAAAAAAAAAAAAAATTGTTATTTACTTTATAAATGTCCCAACTTCTTAAAAATGTAGACGATTTTTTTATCCAATACATATATTTCAAATAAATTATATTTTGTTATTACTTCTTTTCTTTTTTTTTCTTTTTTTAAATTAAGATGCTTAATTCTTTCATCTAAAAAAATTAAACCAATCTCTTTTCCTTAAAAATAAAAAATATGGTACCAGTATAACTTTATGCATCTTAAATTGTATATCAACTATTATGCATTTCCCAACATAAACGGGAAAAAAATAATAATAAAACAAAGGGAAAAAAAAAACAAAGGCATGCATAAAGGGTGTCTTTGTCCAAAAAACAAAGGCATGCACAAAAGGTAATTTGGTCAATTTTTCATGTAAAGGGGTGTCTTTGTCCAAAAAAGTAGCAAGTTTCCTCTAAATGTCCTTTTGCCAAATCTCAGGGGGCATGGTTGTACTTTACCCTTATTTATTTATTTATTTATTTTGTGGATAGCTTGAAAGTATAGCTTCTTTTTTGGCATTTGTGTCGCTGTTCCGAGAGGGACTCCCCTTTCGAGCTCTCTTTAATGACATTTACTTATAATTAAAGAGACTCCTCCTTCCTTCTGTCCACTTTTCAAATCCCTCATAGCAGACAGACCACTACTATCTTGGTTAGCAAAATCTATGCAAAAACTGACGAAGTTGTAATCTTTTTTATTCGAGTGAAAGTCAAGTTCAAGGTTGCTTGAGGTTATGGAAATTACTTGCACTGTGGTTGAAGATCGGTTGACGTCATGGAGATTACTTGCAATGTAAGGAGCAAGCACGATATCACATTATAGGGATTACGAAATTTTGGGTGTCTTCAATTTAGGTTTTTAAAAGTGTTCTGCAAATGATTTTAATTTCTTTTGAGCTTATAAGTGGTTTCGAAAATATGGGACGTGTTTTCAAGATGCCTTTGATTTTTTTCTTTTCTTTTTGGAAGAATTTATACTCAACATCAAAGAGATTTGAGCACCAGTACTTTACTTCCCAGCCCCGATACTCAAGCTTACACACCTATACACCAGAAGGCAGTGTTGATTAAAAGTGTGATGTGCTTATGTTGGCTAATTATCTCTATTGAAGAAGAGATTAATGAAGAAGCTTATTGTAAGAAGAAACAATGTTGATGTAGGGATTAGTGGACCAATAATTCCAAGGTAGAGTGCGAATGGCTCAAAATACCGTACGTCAACAAGATGGTGACTTTAAAGTGTAGAGTCTAAATTAACTAAGTATGTTATACTCTTCTTTTTACTGGTGGATTACTAAATTTGAACTACAGTCGAGTAGTTTTTGCCATTTGAATTTTCAACATAAAAACGTAAATAGAGGGGGGGAAGTTTATGTTGAACTATGTACAACACAATAGCCAATATTGTGTGCACAATACTTTAAAAGCTTAAAAGAGTCAATATGACAAAATTCCAAAAGGCTAGAGACGAGGCAAAAAATAAAAATAAAATAAATCATTCCTAATTAATATCACTTCCACATCAGCAAACAAATGTAGAGAAGGTAAAACATATAAACATACAATGAAAGATAAGAGAAAATGCATATTGAAATAGAAAACAATTTCAATGAAAAATATGTATGCATATATATATATATATATATATATATATATGAAACCAATCCAAGGACAAAGATTAAAGCAAAAGTTGTTCATTCTTACCTAGACTCTGATATGTGCAAAACATCTCCACAGCCTGCACATGACTTGTTGTACCCACCAATGGAACCACCATCTGCCTTGATTATGAAATGGTACCTCTTTGCGCATACTGGGTTACCACTCCAACCTTAACCAAGTTATGAAGAATAAAAGAAATAAATTAGCTATGATAGTTTAAATTATTTAATATGGAGTGCTAATATGTATGTTTCTTAATATTCAATTTTAAATCAGCTTTGAATTTATAAAAAAAAAAATCAGCCTTTGAATTCCCAATGCAATATTATCATTTTGTCACTAGCACTACGTAACTTTTTTTTTTCACAGGAATTTGTTCATAAAATCCATAAACAAATTTGTTCATTTAAAAATTCGGAACTACGGAAATTAATTAAGACGTCCACGTGGCCCATTTCATTTTACAAATATGCCCTCATAGAGTAGGAACACCTACGTGTCAGGCCCTTGGGGCGTTTTTGGTAAAGCAACTGCCCAACCAAAAACAAATAAAAAAGAGCAGCTTACTCCAAACCGTTTGATTGACAGACACGTTCCGCAGTCTCCCAAATCCAACAGCTGAGAAGTGCTACTAGTGGTTGGCCCACTTACCCACATTTATTAATCAATTCTCCATGATAACATTTAAAACGGTCCACGAAAGTCCAAAAGTAATGCCAAACGCTTAGTCAATTCTTTTATGTATATTTTAAAAAAAAGTCATTATCACATGAGCTCTGGGACCAATATTTTGCACATCAAATCAGACAAAAGAATGGACGCAAGAGATTGATTATGCCTATATGATGTGGGATTAACTTTTTTTTGCACCTCGAGAATGGACAGCAGAGATTGATTAACCATGTATGACCGCGATACATATCCTAGCAAAAATTTCTCGGGAAAAAAAACAAAAAAAAAACGAATGAAAATAAAAAGGTGCTCCGATTTCCCGCCTAAACCGGCGACCGGAATCTGACAGACAAAAAGTAGAGACTGAGTTAAGGGAAGCGTTGGCGACTCAGTTGAGAAACTCACCGACGACTCGGCACTGGTCGCAGTAGATGGATCTAGAAGTGGCCACGTCCTCCTCAACGACGTCAAGGCACACGACGGCCGGCGACGAGTCGGGACAGGCGGCCAGACCACCGACTCGGAACAGGATCTGCCACGTCAGCAGGTGGGGGAACAGAGACGACGGCGGCGGGAGTATCGCGTGCGTGGAGAGGAACGCCCTGACGCTGGTCCTGAAGGGCCCGCCGGCCGGATAGTCGGCGGAGGGGAACGTGTGGAAGTCGTTGAGGCCGGCCGTGACTCGCCTCTTCATCCGCTTCAAAGGCCTGCCATTCACGACCATGCTGTGATCTTCTATCGTCAGATCTGGGCGCGTGTGGGTCAGATCTCGGCGAGTGTGGGTCAGATCTCGGCCGGAGAAAGCTTGGGTAGTCCTACTGGTTTCAGATCTGAGCAAAATAGCAGATCCAACGGTCGGTAATAAAGGATCAAACAAACCAAGAGTTGAGAAGAGGTTTCATTGGTAGAAACTACTATTAGAAGTTGAAAACAACACGAAGCAAGAGGTAGAGGGGTAAAAATACAAGGGTGGGAGGGAAATACGAACGTTCGTTTCGGTGGCTCAAAATTAGGGTTTTCTGTTGGTTTTTGATTCCCTATGGTCTTTTGTACTTTTTGGTATTTTTGTATTTATAATTTACTATTATTTTTCTTATTGGGTGTAAGGAAATAAAAAGTTGTTAAGTCGGTTTGGGATAAGGGTGAGAGATATATATATATATATTATTATACATATAGAGAGAGAGAGAGGGGGTGGGTGAGACTACAGAGGGATACATATATTTAGAGAGAGAGAGAGAGAGAGAAGGGGGATATATATATATATATATATATAGACTACAGAGAGAGTGAGAAATCTTAGTCGTTAAGCGTCTTCAGCGCTGCTAAATTTTTTTGAAAAGAGAAGCACTGCCCTGTGTGAAATTATTAAAACGCCCTCACGGTCCTGAATAGTCAGCTTTCCCTTGTGTGTACTATCCTATTTTACTTGTCGTCTTTCTTGTTCATGTTTAGTAAATTGGGAGGAAAAAAACATTTTTAGAAACTAAAATGGTAAGACAGTAAATTTTCCTTTGGCTGGTGGTTATCACAAGTCTAAAAGGTCAAGGTGGTTTGGTTGAAAAATATATATAAACGGGATTTTCTGGATTTCCAAATGGAATGGCTTTAATTTTCGATTTTTATCTGTTTCTCTGAGCTTGCATACATGGGAGGTAACAGATCTTCCTCCCGTTGCAATGACAAAAATACATATCGAATCCATGAGCGCAAATTTAATATATTGCCCATGCTGACTCTGTTACTTTTATTGTCTTGCTAGATTATTCGTTAGAAATTTTTTCTAACATGCTATAGATGTCTCCCGAACCAAATTCCTTCAGTCAATTAATATATGCACATTTGTCTATATATTTTATACTTTGAATTTTTCGAACCAAATTCTGAGCTATATCCCTAAATACATGCACATTCGTCTATATATTTTGCATTTGAATTTAGGGTCGGCCCTGAGCTTAGGCCATCTAGGCGGTTGTCTAGGACTTCCAATTTGGGTCCAAAAATTTGTACCACTAGGTCTCTCAAAATTTTAGTCCTCACATTCGACTATGGTCTTAGAACATATTGGACCTCTTGGGGCTGTATGACATTTATCAACTAGGAACAGAAAGTGATATGCTATGGACACAGGAAGAGATAAGGAAGGTAACATCATCCAAGTTGGAAGAATGAATTACAAGCAGAGTAGGTTAAACCACAGCATTTGTCCACAGAACTTGTTGAAGTAGAAGAGAGGAGGTGATGATCATGGTGTATGTGTGCAAAAACTTGTTTGACTTTGACAAGTGGCAACACTCGAAAACACAATTAAAAAATGATAGAACTATTGAATCAAAGCTAAAAGTTATTAAGCAAAGATTATATATCTTTCTTGGCCTTTATTTATAAGTAATTTACAGGTAATTGATTCATTTTAGGACTCGATTGCTTGTCCCTTAAAAATCTCAATCATAATATACTATCCTTATCGTAAGGATTTACATGATTTGGTTTCCTTAAATTATAATCCTTCTTCTAATAAAATTATCACTAAAAACGGACTTATTGGTAATCTAGGCCTAAAGCTCTATTTTTCGGACCTTCTTAGTTGAATAATCTTTGTGTTTGTAGTGGACCCCTGATGCGAAGATGTGTCGTCTTTTTATTGGTGGGAAAGTGTTTTTTCCTCCACAGTTTGCCCCCAATCCCTCCTAAATTAGGCAATGGTCCCTATTTCAAAGGGAATTTAAAACGATCAAACGGGTGCTTGGTGGTTCGTATTTTGCAACTACTGAGTTTTGCACTAGGGTTTTGCGCCTCCCAATTCATTTCCATCTCACCTCGTTGCTTCTACAATTTCCTCAGGTCAGTTTTCCATTTCTCTTTTTCTTGTTTCCTTCTTGACTAATCATGAGTTCTCATAGTACTTCTGATCTTGAAATTGATCCCAAGTCCATACCCACTGAGTCCCCTAAATTGGTTCACATACCTCCACACAAATCTAATGCAGTAGTAATTTCCAGTGATGATCCGCCAACTGAGGATGGGGAATCTTCTTCTCAGGTAGAAGTCTCCACTTCTGAAACCATTTGCCCATTCTCGGAAGATGAAAGAGCTTCAATTTTATCTATCTTTTGTGAGTTGGTGGAGGTTGAACCTTTATTCAAGGAATTCGGCATTCCTGAGGGGATAATAGTAAGTGTAATGACCTGATCATTTTCTTTCCTTTCCATTCTTTTAAATTTTACAAAAATATATATATATATTTTTTCGTTGATTTCTTTTTTTGAGTTTTCTTTTTCCATCATTTTTCACTGTCTTTTCATTTTATGCAACCTATCGGGTCGTGCTCGGATTTGATTTTCATATGTTGCATATTTTTAATTTTGTAGAAAAGCATGCTAGATGTTTACTTTTGCCCGTAGGGGTATAAATGGAAAGTTTCTTGAAAATTGTTTCTTTACTTGGGGGTGTTTTCATAATTATATTTTGATTATAATTTGTATTTAGGGTCCTTTTAAATGTACCTTTTGAATGGCACATCATTTTGGGCTTTTTGGAAAATTCACTTTTTGAGTTACTTAGTGAGGAGGCATTTGTGTAATTTTGAAAAGTTTTTAGAAAAGTTTCTCATTTTGGGTTCAAACCTTCATGGTGGGTTCCTTTTCACTTTTTATAAACTTTGGTACTTCCAGAATATTTTTTGTATTTTTATTTCATTTATTTTGAATTTTCGAACACCGTTAGTTATCAAACTTGTTCGGGGCATATCTCCTCGCTCGGGACTCAGTTTTTGACCCCATTTCTTCCGTTAATTTTAGAATTCCATTTGAAAACTTTTTTGTTCATGGACCATCTTCATTTGAGTATGTCTTCACAGATTTCACTTTTTCGACCCGGATGGGACCCGTTCGGACTATTCGAGACACCTTTTTAACCTATTTAGGGTAGGTGGATGAGAGAGAAAGTCACTTTTTCATTTCATCATTCTAAAAGCAGCAGCAGCTGCCATTTCTAGACCTTGGGGGCTATCTCTCTCTCTCCTCTTTTCATCTACTTCCTTTTTAATCTGCCTCTTCGCGATAAAGACTTTTTTATGTCCTTAACGACGCGGTGATTTCTATCCGATCGGTTTTTGATTTGTAACACTTTGAATTTTGGGGTGTGAGTTCAAGCTTGGATTTGGGTCTTGTCACTAAAGGATTTCTTGCTCTCATTGTTGTCCCCATCATAACCCCAAAATTTCATCGCATTTTGTGGAATTTGATTTTGGTGTAATTTGAGATTTTCATCTCAAAGTGAGGTAGGGGTGTTTCATGTTTATAATCTTAGTATTTTACATATTTTTGAGGTTTATATAACTTGTATACATGTTTAAAGTTTAGATCTAGAAATTGTTTTTATTTTAATTAAATGATGATTTAATTTCATAGTGGAAGCATGCTTAGATTTAATTAAGAAAATGATATTTGGAGAGCTCGTGACTTGTTGTTTATCAAATATTATTTTTGGAATTTTTGGATGACTTTTGAAATCTAAAGATTTTCGTTTATTAAGTTAATTAAAAATTAACTAAGTGTTTTAATAACTTAATTAGACTTTTGATTTGATATTTGAGTTATTCATGGTATGTTGCTTATTGTGTGTTAATTTTATGTCATTTGGTGATATTTTGAAATCTAGAGAAATTAATTAATTTTTATTTAATTAGTTTCCTTTTAATGAAATTATGATTTATTTACATCTTTGATGTTTTCAAGGCCTATTATATTACATGATATGGTAGTTGAGGACCTAGGGCATGTCATATGTGTTCCCACAATTAGATTGTGTATGGTATTTGGTTAAGTGCATTAGTATATGTGTATATACTTGTTGTTCACAATTTGTTGATTTTGAAAGACTTGTAAGGACAAATGTTTATATGATGGCTAGGGTTCGACTCTAGTACGGGGACAAGGTCTCCCTTAGTTACAAGTACGTATTAGGTAGTCCCTTGTGGGTCGTAATTACCCAGAACAACTTGCTTGGTCTTGTGACCACGTCCTAGTCTTTCGCTTGTTTGATTTCGCATTTCAATTCCAAATTGTTTACTTTGTAGATTTATATTGCGTTATTTGGTATTTGAAGTTTCAATGTTACTTACTTGCTTATTTATTGTGGTTTATGATAAGGATGTTCTAATGTAGTTTTGGATGATCCCTTAGACTCACCTTAGACATCGACGTTAGGTAGTATAAATCACATGGATTGATTTATATAAATTTGTAAATACTTGCAAAACTTTAAGTTATACGCATATTCATTTCCTACGAGTAACTTATTTACTTACTCTCGTTGTTTGGGATATTTTTCAAGTAAAGAACCATGTTTTAGGGATGTACAACATCCTTGAACTTGCTTTGTGGCTTAATGAGTGTGGCATACTCCTTTACATGCATTGCTAGCATGATTTTGCCTTGTCTTTGGTTAATTATGTCAAAACTTGTAGCTTCTATTTGGAATATGTAATAAGTACTTAAATGCTTCATTTGAGACCTATTTGACGTGTAAACGATAAGGCTAAGGGCCAATGACCTTATGTTTTACTTTTATGTAATTTGACTTTATGCCTAAATATGAGAAAAATTAGAAAATGTGAAGCTTTAGCATATCAATATTAGTTTGGATGATGGGAATTGTGTTTTATCACTTTTCCTAGTGCTCTTTTATTATATGTGACATGTGGCCAAGGGAGAAAAATCGTCTCCAAGGCACCTCTCACTAAAGGCTGTCCTTGGAGGGGTAAATGGTGACATGGCCTTTTTAGTAAAAAGAATATTTACCTTGTGACGTGTATATACATACATACCTATATATTTGTACAATAATCAATCTCTTCTGTATACAAAATGAAATTCAAATTCCCTCCAACACATAAAACTGATTTCCCCCCAAAATTTTATTCTATATCCTCAAGTTATATTTCATTATTTCCCTCTTAAATTTAGGTCTCTCTCCCTGTGAAATTGACATCTATCTTTGCTGATGGCCAAAGACCAAGCTTCGTATATTCGGGCAACCTCATCAAACAAGCAAAACATTGTCCCTTTCACATTCTGATGAGAAACACCATACATTTCGGTAATAAGTAGATAATATACATACATTTCGGCGAGAAGCAGAAGGCCGCCATACATTCCGTAAAAGTAGTCCACCATACAATATTTGTAATTTTGTTTGTTTTTCTGCATTTTTATAAATTTGGTATGTTAAATTTGCAGAGTT